TCCAAGTATTTCTCTGTCTATGTGTATCCTGTACTTCTTAGTGTTTTGTTAATATATTATTTACAGATATATCTTATGTTATTCTTTTTGCACTTAGTATAAACGACAATGCAAAATATACTGTATCATTGGCAGGCCCAGGTAAACTAAGTGGTACTATGGAGTGTGCTACCTCTAATTTTTCAGCTGGATACAAACATTCTGGAGTTTGCTGGCCAAAATACTCATGATCCTAGACTGCTATCCACCTTTGAATTATCTACTAAAATACATTCCAGTTGCTGAATCAGTTGTTGAGAAGAAACACTCCTGGCATTGAAAAAGCTTTCTGGTGCCCAAGGGAGGAGGAAAATTTGCAGCAGGATTGGTCACTATGTCCCTCACTTATTTTATGCGAAGACATGAGATAACTTGATTTTTTAAGGGTTTTATTGACATTAAATTTCTCATATGGTCAGTGATTTAAAGGCTTCAAACTCCCTTAGTGCCATTAGCATCCTATTTCACAAAATTGATTCAACATTGGCTAAAGGCTATCTCTGGCACAGAATTTGTCTTTTGTCTTCAATGCCATAACAGTTATCATTAATCCTGAACTATTTAAGTGGTGGGGCCCCATCCAATTATAACCATCTAGCCAGTTTAGGCATTGGGCATGATGTAACTCATTCTATTAAAGATCTCAAGATGGAGCTTGATTACTTCCCTAGAACATTGGTATTTATTTCAGGCAAGATATGAACCTTATTATTTCTTTCCTGAACCATTGCTTAGATTAGTGGAAAGGTTTTGGAGCACTCAGTGGGTACTAGGAAAATTGAAGAAAGATTTGCTGTTGCATATTTTATAAAGGATAAGATTCATGAATGTGTAGGAGTGTCCAAGCCAGCATTTCCAGTTCAGATGGACTTGTTACAATTATTGGAAAGTTGTGCTATAGATCATAGAAGCATCTGAGGAGAGAAATCTAGGAAGATCTAGGAAGATATTATGGTCATCTCAGAGTGGAGCAAATTGGGATTCTTAATTTTTTTTTAATGATACTAGCACTAGTTAATACAATTTCACATTCTCTGGCCAGAGTGCACATTATACTATCATGTCTGGTAAGAAAAAATCTTGTCTCAAGTCAATACTTTCTCTTTTTAAGATAAAGGTCAATTATCCTAAGTGAGGACTTGAATGTTCAGTTTGTTTCTCAAAATGATTGCTAGGAAAAGGAGAAAACTAATATGGGTGGAATTATGTGCTAATCTTGCTATAAGACTTCAGAATGGCTTTCACCTGCCTCCAGCCCACAGAACAGAATTAAACATCATCATCATGAACTAGATAGCATTTTAGAACTTAACAAAGAGGTTCACAGAGATTTTATGTTATATACAGACAATCTAAGATCTCAAACTAAGGCAGGTTCATCTGATTAAATATAAATATTATCATGACTAAGTCAAACATTTAATTCAAGACTCAGAATAATTTCATTCACAAATATCTCATTTACTGTGACTCATTCCTGGATGTTATCCTAGAGTCAGAAAATTTAGCCAATCAAGGGCTCTACAAGTTTTGTCAGAGTGAAGAAGGATTACATAAGATACAATGGTGGAATGGAAAGTACTTTTGTAATACATTCTGGGTCATTGGAAACAACCATATCTATAATCTAAAGGCTCCTAGAAATAGGAGGATATGGATAAGACTATATATAAGCATGGCAAGGGTACTGAAGTATGTATCACTACTGACTCACTTCCACTGACCACTGCCCTAACCATTATTCATTCCACTGGAGTATTTACACATAGCATATTCTGGTATTATTGTCCTAGATCTCCAAAACAAAACCTGCAGTTGCTCAAAGCAGGATTATTTCCAGCCAGTACATCCTGCCCTTAAACTGTTTTTACCTTCAATGTTCTTAACAATTTTCTTATTGATGTCCTTGAATAAGATGTTCCTCCAGCAAAAGAGGAGAGGGTTTTCTTATAATTGAAGGAGGTGCTGGTAGAGTAAGAGGCAGGAGACATGTGCTTGCTGAAGGGAGTGAAAAAGTCAAAGGTGTAGTAGAGCCATTAGCAGCAAGAGCTGTCTGAAAATAGGTGACTGCCCTATCTAAGTCTTTGAAATCACATTCAAAGGAAGGGGATGGTGGTCAAGAAGAATTGATAGTCTTTAATAAAGGGACTAATGTTCTGCAATGCCTGGTAGGCCTCAGGGAGTTCATATTAAGACTGACCCATCCAGGAAGTTGCTCCAAGGTAAGCTGCTGAAGAATTTGTAAAAGTCATTTAGATATCTACCAGTTTCTCATACTCAGAGGATGTTTTCTAATGGATGTCAAGAAATGCAGTATCAGTTTGTCCTGGCCAGTGTGTCAGGAGGGTTTGTTGCAATCACTAATACATGTAAAGCAGTTAAAAAGGTACATGATATTTCTTTGGATCCTTGTCTAGGCATTCCAGGGATCTGGTGGAGCAGAAAAGAAAAATGTTCTTTAAATCTCCCTACTGCTTTGATCAACTGTTCTCATGCATCCTGTTATGGAACTTTAAATGTCATTTGAGTTCATACTAAAGTACCTGTTACAAAGCTGATTATCCTACATGATGAACTTAATAGTGTTCTGAGCAGCCCACATCTCTGAAACTAGGATTCCTTAGCTAGTATGCTGCTAGTGAGGATTCACCTCCAAATTAATAGACAGTGAATCTTGGTTATTAACATTTGACCATATTCAGAGTATAGCTATCTTCTTTACCATTTCCTTCTTCATTAACAAATCCATCAGTCCTGTTTGATAAAATGAACTTCAGATGGTTGCCTGTAGGCTAGAATATCTTGGTCTTACTAAGCCCTATTGCAGCTATCTATACTTTCTCTTGCCTGCTCTCAAAGTTAAGATACCTTATTGTTGGTAGAATAGATAGTTGAAAGGTACTAGATCTGTGGGCTTTAGTATATGACATTGTGCATAATGTAGGGATAGAATATTCATCAGTCATCTGAACTCATCCAGAGTATATTAAAAATAGTGATAGATCCATATTGTCTAATGTGTCAGCTATCTTTCTATTTACAAAGGCTCCATTTGAATACTAGTGTTAAGGTCATGGTAAACTTGAAGCCATCATCTCAATTGAATTGAAAATCTAGGGCTTCAAGTTAATCACCTAGCTATGACACCATGTAATCTTATTTTAGGCTCTTATGAAACAGAACACTTGAGTAAAGCTGTTGGCATAATTGTTTCACAAGGCACATACTACATTATATATTATGGACAGATGAAATAATAGCAGAATACCATCAAATTATTCATCTAACTCTGAATAGCTCCCATCAGATCTCGAAGCAAGCATGCATATGGATTCATTGTTAGAGAAATCACTAGGCCAACATAGTTCATGGTCACCAGAGTCAAAACCATACCCCCTGTGCCCTATTGCCACTACTCTCCCCTTGCAAAGCATGTTTCAGATTGTTTTAATTTAATGATCAACAGTTTTCAATTCTGTTTGTATTAGCTTGGTCTCATCTTCATGGATAGGCTTTATAAGGTCTAGTTTGTGAGTGTAGGTACTGATATCTGAGACAAGTGGCAATAGCCCAGTGAGTAATACAGGAAAGTCTAAGCATTTGCTCATTGAGATAGTTTGAGGTCTCAGAACCTGGAGTGCAGGGGTAATTCCACTTTGAATTATGAGTATTGGACTTGAGTGTATCATTGAGATTGTGACATATGGCTGTTTTCAGTGTTCTCACTTTCTTTGAAGGCAAATCAAGCTCATTGTTACATTGGTATATTGTATAATGAAAGCGGGAGTACTTCACTCCAGAATTACCAATTACAGAATTGGTCTTTATATGCTGTCTTACTAGGATGTGAAAGGCAAGAAAATCACCAGATTTCACTATCCTCCATGATCAATGATTCAGACAATTACCAACAATTGATAATGTGGTCATTTGTGGGGGATGAGATGTGTTAGAACTTTTCAAGTGAATACTAGTAATGTCAAAGGGGCAAAGAACAATAGAAACCAATAGTAGCACAAGGTAGTGCTATATCCTTCAGAATGATATGTTGCAGCTGTATGCAATGAACTAGAGCTACACTATATCCCTCTTGGATATCTCTTACTTATAAGGTAGACAACATGCAAATCCAACAAATGTCATGTGATGTGACTGTGCTGTGACACTGTGCAGATAACCTCTTGCCGAATGTGCCGAACATTAGTTGAGGTTTGGATTGATGATGAGCAACATTGACAAGTAGTAGATATGTAAGTACATTATGTGCAAGTACTAATTGAGTAGAAAATATATAGTAAATAATACAGTTAGTATATGCAAGGCCTGTCAGGCAGATGTCACAGACTCAGAGGGGTGAAAATCATTAAACTCCTTCATGATGCTCTCTAGAAGTATATGGTGCCCACAATATCTTTTGATTGCCCATGCTGGTTGTGTCCCATTAAGGCCCTTTGTGTATGCATCAATAAATCTCGAAGATCAGATTGAGAAACTATATCCAATTGTAAGTCTTTGCATTGAAAATAAGATTAAATAAACACTTACTGTCACATTGACATCAGCAGAACTGAATCTAATGACTCAATAACATTGCACTCCAGAACAGCCTCTGATGAAGAGTGATCTGTTTTCTGATACAGGTGTTTTGCAAATCCCCAATACTGCTCTATAAAATTAAGTTCACAGTGATACTTTGGCAGGAAGATTATATTAAGTCCTCGTGCATGACACATGGCCTCAAGATTAGATTCCACATGTGCAAAATCAGGCTGAGTATACATCAGCTGCTGGCAGCAGCAGTCAGATTTTCCACTGGGACATTTGAATTCTTGACACTCAGCAAGGAGATGAGGTGCATTTGTATAGCCATGTTTGACCAGGATCTGGGCCATCCCCTTGAAGCAACCAGCCTTCTCGTGTCCATCTGGGAAGTAGAGGGGCTGTAATTCTCCATTCGGCAATTATGCGTCCTTCATCCATATTTTTTCTTTGACTGGTTTGCCATCTGTGCCAATAATAGGTCTCCCATCATCACTTTTCTTGGTGATGGATACACCCCATGTTGTGGACAGACATTTTGGCATTTTTCGTGCAGATAATGCATCATCTGCGCGTTTCAGGTGAGTGGTTGCATTGTCAAAGACAAGGACATGATCCTCATCAGAATAATTCTTCTCCAGGATATCCATAGCCTTGGCAGCATGTGCCACAATATTTTTGTTGGTGAAATACCAATCTCATGCCTTTCCCGCCCTAAACAAAACTCACATGCTCTCCTGGCCATCCTTGGAATGCAAACAGCCATAATCCGCAGACACAAAATCGGCAGCCACCAATGAAGAACCCTCTCCTTTTGGCTGTGGGACAGCACTCTCCATCATGTGGACCCAATGGTTTTTCCTCCAATCATTCACATAGAAAGTGGATTCATCATGAAACCAGACAACTACATGATAGCCAAAAGGATCTGGGCATGCACCAGTGTCTTTGATGGTGAGGTCATCTTGTTTCCATTTGTATGTGCAAGCTTGATAACAAGCCCATGCAGGAATGAAAAAATTATGGCAATAATGCACTATATCCTCCTGCTCATGGCCATCAGAATATTGACAATGAGGCTCCTTCATCTACCGATAACCCATCCTCACCATCCACCACTAAGCTGTCTTCAAGCAAATTGGCTTATATGCCAAGCCAGGCCTGATTCTCCGGAATGCTCAGATAATCAACCAGATCCTGTTCATGAACATATTTCCCGATGCTCTGAAGGTGTAGTTTTAACTCTGCAGCAAAGTCTTCATCATTAACATGTGAGTACTTCTGTGGCTGTTTATAGTGAGGAAGTGCTGTCCAATTCTTGATGTATGCCTTTGCCCAGGTTTGAAGGCACCATGGAAGATGGACCCCTTGGGCTTTTCCCACATTTTGCGCAGCTTGATCTGCTGCCTGGCTGACTGAGTTTGCGGGGTGTGTTGTTCTATCATCATGAGTGTCAGTGTATAACTACAGGAAGTTTTTCACCTGTGTTAGCCTCTCCTTCAGGACAGGAGAAAGGATGACACTACCAGCAAGCTTTTTATCATGGGGCAGTTTCAACAGAAGCTTCAAGTCCTGCAGAGATTTGTGAGCATCATTAATGCCAGGCGGCACTCTCAGCTTGAAGCTGTAGTCATATGCTGATGTCTCTCCAGTGGCAGCATCAACTTCGACTCCACTCATGTCCTCATCCTCACTCTCAGCATTCATTTCATCATTGCTACATTTTGGTAGTACTTCTTCGTCGGCATCACAACACATTTCATCAGCCTGTTCCAAGATTTCTTGAAGAATAAAAGAAGTATCTGGCTGCTTCTGTTCGCGCCAGTGCACTCCTCGAATAGCAATGATGTCTTCTTCATCCTTGATCTCCTTGCATGTCACAGAGTATTTATTGGAGTGTTGAGAGGCTCCCAATATTGACATTACAGGTGTCTCACTACTACTATTGACAGCTACCAGCTCGAAAAATGTAGCTGCTTCACATCGGAAATGAGTTTCAGTCTGTGGTGTGTATGGAGAGTCTCTCGTGAATCATTCTCTGAACCAGGTTACAATTGTAGGTTTGGAGGATGCATCTATATGCTATGTGACACCATGAGACTCTAATCTTAACATTAAAGTTGAGTTACTCACAACATTCTCATCATTCTCCATGCTGTGAGGTTTTGACTCCATTGTTTTGACCTTTGGTCTTATGGCCCATTACACAGAGGATGAGATGGCATGCACAGCAACAAGGCAACGGGGCTATATTGCTTTCAGACTTTCACCTTATGTTCTGCAAACCTAGTCAGAACACCAAAATTTTCATTTCTCTTTCATCTCACAACTTTCGTTAGTTCTGAAAACACTTGATGGTGCATTGCTATATTCTACGTCTACCAGTGTAAGCATTTGTTTCTTTACTACATTGTTAATTATTATTTTTTTTATTTAGTTTTTGTCACAAATCTGTAACACTAAGCACTTGACATTCATTGGATTTGCATGTTGTCTATCTTACTCAGCAATGGAGAACAAATTCACTAGCAGGATCATCCCAATATGTGGCCTCGAAACCAACTGCTACTCAGGATCTCACAATGAGTAACGATGCAGTCCAGAATAGAGTACACCTTCTTGATGTAGTCTTAAGTGGCCAAGCTCTTAATATTCATTGACAGATTGTAGGTCTTATTTGCATCTTTCCTCATTGGTGAATAATATGTATAATTCACCCTACAGAACTTTTCCTGTATCTAAAGAGAACTAGAGTGAAGGATGATTATGTAATTAAAGATGGCTCAAGTGTGTGGCCAGATACTTTGGAAGAATATGTGAAGAATAATGTCAAAATAGTAGAGCAAATAACCTGATATTTCTCCTAATAATCACTTGAATGTTCACTCAAATAGTCAGAGCTAAGAATCTTAGGGGCAAAATAATGTTCCCCCATGTTCCTCTATAAACTTTGTCACACTCTGATTGGTAGATTGATACTTGAGAATAAAATTGATTGCCTCACAAGAGGGGAAAATGAGCCCCTTATATACTACTAAATTAGTGGCTGTGCTACTGATTACTTATGTATTATAGAATACTCTAGAATGTATTAGAACTATTAAGAAAGGACTATAGAATGTTCTGGAATGTCATAGAGTGATTAGTAAAGATACTTATAGAATGTGCTAGATTACTTAGGAAAGGCTATATTTTAGGTCCCTCTAGCACTGCCTAATTGCTGTGCATTGGTTACCAATCCATTCCAAGCTATTTGTTTACATTGTCAACCTGGTTTGGTTGATACCACTGCCTTGAGTACATAGATATAAATAAAGTTGCACAGCATACTTGTGCACATATTTGTCATGTACTCAACGAAAAATAAAGGGTTTATTAAAAAGATTAGGTGTAAGATAAGTATTTAAATTGGACCGCTAAGCTGCAGTTAAGTTATACATGCTCAGAAATGTCCAAAGTAAATTGAAGTAAGGTATAGAAAATTCAGGGGATGTTCAAAGACTAAAGTAAGGAATAGCATTTGTTATATGAGAGCAGCTAGGTGTGACTGATGTGGGAGGTGTGGATGGTGGAGTGGCTTGGGAATGTCTAGAGTGTTGATATTGTAAATAGACCTTTGAGGCAATAAAAAGTTGAACAAACAAACCAAGGCTAGTTGGTATCTGACAGAATATTCTGCTGATCCACTCTGAAGAGCTCCTCATTGTGAGTTCTGGCATGATGAGTAAAGTGGAGAACATTAATCATTACTATGTAATATCTGGATGTGGTATCAACATGTATAGTTTTCTCACATGATTGTAAAGGTTGGATCTTGGGTGCTATCTGAGTCATCATAAGCACAATCAGAGAAAACAGTTTGAGATGGGAGAATCAGGTTTAAAGATGCAAGTTAAGACACTAGATTGCATAGAACTAACTTAAGAGTTATAGGCTGTTAACCATTGTGTTTATATAGGTACAATAGAGACAGCTTTATGTTAAGATGAGAATGAAGTAGACTGCTTCTAGAGGCTAATAAGTGACCAGAGATGATCAAGACTAGAGTCTAGAGTAAGTTGCCAAAGAGCCAGGGAGCACTGGACTCTAGGATATGGGTGATGTTTGGTAAACAAATGTAAACAGACAAGCCACAATCCAAAGGTAAGGAATAACTTGACCTAGGGACATTGTAGGAAGGTTAGGAAGTCATATAAATAGTTAGAAATGTGAGGAATGATACTGTAAGTATATATAGAGATAAATGCATAGGAAAGCATACTGTAGAGGTGAATAATCATATAACTGATACTTTATGGCAAGTCTATACTGGCTATAACAACAGTTGACTCATGAAAAAGGCATGGCATGGTATAATGTTGTATCATTTAATTAGAAAGTATCTAATAAAAAACAATAGAGTCATATAATGAAGAAAAAAGATATGAGTTATGTGCTATATAGCAAGACAGAGAATGATGGCAGTTGTTGTAACATTACTCCCTCACTGAATCAAAAACTGCCAACTTTGCTATCATAAATGAATATCTTTAGTGAGACATCTAGGGTCACTCATATAATTATTTCTGAGAAGTCCTATAATAGATTCCCCTCTAGCTTTCATCATCTTAGTGTATTTCTTAAGCCTTGGATGTATATGCAAAACACAAGAGGCACTTTCATGTTCTTCCTAATAGCAATGGAAATATAATGGGTGGATAGTACTTAATAGGAGGCAGAATAGTGTGGGAAATAGGTGATAGTGCTACAGATAGAGAAGAAGCTTAATTACAAGAATCAGAGCTTTCTACTATAGGCATATTATATAGAATGACATGATGTAAGGTAATTATATAGCTCTGAGTGTATCTTCAGTGATATCTTCACCTATCCTTTTAGAATGTATACCTCCAACATGCTTTAAGACTCAGCTTCATGCTATGTCATTCCCACACTTAATCAACTTCCAACTGCTGCAACTGAAGGATATGCTCAGACTCAATGTCTTTCCCTCAAACTCCACATCTTTTGGATGCCCTACATTAATTAGCCATCTTCATACTCTTTCATAGATAATATATCTTGCTGGCTGAGTTGGGATTCTAGCTAATTACTACTGATTACCACAGCAATTATCCATGAACACAACATGAGAGTTACTTATAAAACCTTGTCAAGTCATTTTGGGGATATTCATACGGACTAGTCCAGAATGTACCCTTAACTTGTAATATACAATTAATGAAAGGAGAAAATATTGTCAGTGGAAATAAATTAGCATTTGCAAAAGTAGATACTGATTTATTTATAAAAGAGGAGGATCCTCAGTGCAATTCTTAGACACCATTTAGCTACTATTTATACCCTCTTGGTAGCTTACATATTTCTATGTTCAAAAATTCTTTGGCTCATGCATTTCCTAGACTATTGGCAATTCAGGACAATATTTCCACCAATTTCCAGCTAAGTTTGAAATTCACAAACAACACACTGCATGCTACACTCAGTGCTAAAGACACCATAGTACCTACCCCTAGCCCCACATCCATCTTCAATAATGTTTCTAATTCACTCTTATTCAGTCCAAATTCCCAAACCGATATCCAGCAACATCCAGAATCTTTTCCCACACCCCTCTGCTCTTATTTGGTGCTTGATGCTTCCATTTTTGAATGTCCACTGCAGGAACTGAATGGGACTTGGACAAGGGTGATTGTTGAGGACTAGAGTTGTTGGAAGAACCATGCAAGGTATCTGGCATGTCCAAGAACTGTTCTAACCCTTGTTTTTTTGTCAATAATGTGCCTGTTTTGTGCTGAGATGCAAACTTTTTGCATTCTCCTGTGTCCTTTGAGCCTTAAACATTTCTCTCAAAAGAGGAAGAATACTATCTTAGATAATCAAGAGATAAATCAAATTGTTATATATTCTATTAATTAACATCATATATAGGTGAAAGTGGCTGATGATGGTGACTCTATGGACACTCCTACATCTAGCAATATATCAAAATGGAAGGCTAAGGTCAACTTATCTGAGTTTGACCCAATTTAATAGATGTTATCTCATTACATATGCTACCACAGAATAGGTCACCACCTGTTTCACCACCTATCAATTTCAATATTATGCCTGCAGATGATATTAATATAAACAACAATGATAGCAAATCTGCTGACTCTACCTCATCAGATGGTGAACCTACAGACTCCACTACTTTGTCTGATGACTCAGATGACTCAGATAACTTAAACAAAGTGTACCAGCCTAATAAATGCTTGGAAGCTTATCTAGATGGGCTCACTCTAAGTGTAAAACTTAGGGCTAGTAACATCTTACAGCAGGTAGGAGTACAAAAATCAACTACAATGTATGCATGATCATTGGTTTATTGTTATGCTTCCACAAGTGGCAAACAGATCCATGAGTCACATAACATGCTTACAAACACATCTGGTGGCTTACTGAGGGATTTAATGACTAAATAAGTCTAAAAGAAATACTAATAAAAAACTATCATACTGACAATATAAGTACAAGTAGAGCTGTTAAAATGAAACCAAGCTTATACATTTGTTTGTCTAGCAGCATTGGAATGTAAAAGTACCAGTCTCAACAAAATTGATTTATCATCAAGATCCAAAAGGAAGCTTTCCAAGGAACTCATCTCCATGCACCATATGTGAGGTTCTAGAAATATCCTTTTCATCTAATGAAGGGTCAACAATTCCAAATATCCAAATATACCAGGAAAAATATCCAAGAGTTCGGCTTGGCATAGGAGATATTGGAGTTGAAGTGGGTAGGTGTTTTTAATTAGAGTTTCAATTCTACCACTATGTAAAGTTGAAAAATTGGATTGCACAAGTGAGCAATTGCCACTCTGCTAGCAAAACATATATTAGAAAAGACTATTGTATGTTTCTTTTCTGTTTCTTTATGTGCTCTCTTAGATTCCATTTCTCTTTAGGATGCAACACAGTTAGAGGAAGTGTATGCAAATGTGTGATGCACTCCTCTTACATATAAGTTTACACTTTCATTGTGTTCCATGTACTAACTTCATCATTCTACTTTAGACAGCTCAATTGTAGGCATAGTTGTTTATAGGAATGAACTTGGAATCTTCAACATAAAGTACTCTATCTGAGTGATCTAGTCAAAAATGAATCACTGATTTAGTATTAATGGAAGAACTCACACTGGGTACATATCATCATAAGATGGCTCATCTTATTTGCAAATGAAGTCAGAATATCTTTACAATCAAGCAGTACATTTTACAAATAAAAAATTGTGTATTATATCTAAAACATATCGTGAAATTTTAACATAAGTATATATTGAGTTACACCATGAAAATGTTGAACAGAGTTAAAATATTCTTTCCAATAAAAGGAGTACCTTATGCTGAAAATATGTGAAATATATTATAAATTCTTTCATAAATATATATTGATGAATGGTTAGTGTATCTTTATCATATGATAATGATCATATATCATCTATATAGTCAGACTAACAATGGGCATGGAGAGCATAGTTAGACTGTCAGGTTAGCTGACCATCATATGGATTGCATTGGCAAAATATTACAATATACACACAGAGAAGTACAAACATATCTAAATTTCACAGTGGGTCATAGTCTCTGACAAATCATTCATCTGCAACCACAGGTCATTTGAGTTAGAGGACAAGAAGGGAAATGCTGGAGATAGGGATAGCCAAAAAGGGCTACCTGGAATTGGGACTGCTTACACTCTTCTTTTATTGTATTTGATGATATTATCAGAGGGTAGCTGCATGGCTGACAGTGTGGGAAGTGCAACACTTATACTGGCGAAAAATTGTATATCTGATGATGAAGGAAGGAAGTTACAAGTGTGCGAGCTAGCAGATAGTGCAGAAACTGATGTTGTCTGATTGGTGTGTAATGAGTTCATGTGCAACCTTTGGATAAGATTATTGTCTCTTTGATAGTCTTGTGCCTCTAGGTAACTGTGTCCAATGCTGAACCTATTCTAGAGCATGAACATATAGCTAATGTGTTAAATGTGATAGATATACCTAATATAGTCATGGCCTCAAGTAACTGGTGCAAGTCTTGGACATAATTATCACAGCAGGAGACAATAGATGGTAAGGAGAGCACAACATGGCAGATATGAGAAGCTTAAGGAATTGGTAAATCAGTCAATACAGTGACCAGGGAATAAATGGAAGCGGGTAGTGGCTATAACACTGATTAGTCACAACAGATTATTTCTTCCAGGCTTAAGTCATCAATCCAGACTTTCATTGGTAATATATGGATATATATTTGACTGGGAGCTGGGTGATCTGAAAAATAAAACATCATTTATGTGGAATTCAGAATATCTGAATCAATGAATTCACACCAACCTCTCCTTGTGGTCCATCCACCATATTGGTTCATTGTGGAATATGAATGAACTTTCCTCCTGCTGTGTATTAAAAATACTCAAGCATAGGGTATTAGTTTAGCAAGCATCCACCTGTAAAGAGTGGCAAGAAATTTTTCCACAAGTCATCTCTGCATGCTCAATGTTACATATATGAAAAGATTAGAACAGATACCTGGTTCAAAGCAATGACAATCAATAGGTATCAAGCTATTAAAACTCTTAGAGATCCCTCCGCTTTTCACCCTAACATTAATAAAGATTCCCAAGGCTTTACTTTTGGTGAGATATGAGATGGTTCCAATGCACTTCCCATCAGCATACTGGTGGGGAGTTTGGTGACCTGGCAAAAGGTATTTTTGAAGACATTTGAAGATTGTAAATGTTTATATGAGCAAATGATCATTGACTAATACATACATCAGAGATAATCATGACAGTGCCAGTAGTGTTTGACATGACAATTGTATGCAGCATGATTGTGTCCTATAGAGAAATGTTGCTTTCAATCAGTGATGAGTGAAGTATACCTTCTATGCAGCCTAGAAAAATCATAAAGAGCTTCGAGAATTTCTTTAATTATCTGCACTGTAAAGAGACTAAGGGTCTGTTTGGATAGACATTTTTCCCAAGTTCAACTTCGCAGAATTGCTTTGTCATACTTTGTAGCTGTGTGACCTGTGTGACCATCCCTATCATACCATTGATAATCAGTACACACCAGTCTTCGCTGGTATAGATATGCGGTATGCCTGTAACTCGCTCTTCTAAGTCTACTGCCACCTGCTGTCCTCATTTGACTTGTTCTGTGAGGTCAAGTAAGGGTGGTTATATTCAACTATCAGCACCTAGTATAATGGGCAAGAAAAAAAGCGCCGCTGCAGAGAAAGCTACTGAATTGGGGAGCCAAGAGACTCACGCTAATCAACAATGCCACTGGACGCCTGAAGATGAAATGCAAATGATTGAGTGCATTGGCACCCACAAAGCGAAGGGCGGTGATGGAGTCAACTTTGACAGGACTTTCTGGGGCCTGGTGGCCCAGGAAATGGCTTCATGCACTACAATTGGTGCGGTGAAGCCAGCGGATGCTTGTTCGCAGAAATGGGGTCGGGTGCGTTGTTTTTCACCCCAATATGTGCTCAGATACCAACAAGACTTCAGTTGCGCAGCACCTTTCATGTTGTTGATAGGGTAGTGCGCTATTCAGGTATCGCATGGAGCACAGAGCACGGTGCTGATATCACCCCTGCATCTGAGATGGTATGGGCTGATCTCGTTAGGGTAAGTACCTACTATTATTCACTACTGCTAATAACATTGTTGCAATATAGGCATTCCCCCCCCCCGCAAGGCATTATAGATTGAAGGGCTGGCCTCCCTATGACAAGCTTTGCAAGATCTTTCCCTCAATGGCTGCAGGTGAGAACGCATACCATCCACTCATGCAAAATGCTCCCAACTCAGAGACCGGCACGACTACCACGCCTGGTACGAGCTTCCATGACCTTGATGCGCTGGAGCAGTCACAGGCGCTGGAAGACCTCGAGAATGCCACCGGCAGTGAAGACTCCCAACTAGACAGTGACACCATGATGATGCCACCCCCCTCCTTCTTCGATGCATCACGCCAACTGAAATTCACTCCCTCCACACCTGGCACATCTTCTATTGCACCCACTCTGGCTGCCCATCGTCCTTCACCTGCCAGTAAGGGTAAGGGCAAATGCAAGAATGAGGGTGATGACACTATGTGAACACTCGTTCGCCCACCAAATTCTTCCAAGTCTCAGAGCAGCCCATCAGCATTGGGGAAGTCTGTCAAGTCTGCGTGCTCCACGATGCCTCAAGCCATCCAGCAAATGGGCTCGGTGTGAAAAATACAACCTGATTAGGCACTTGTAAAGGTACAACCCAAGGGAAAAGCTACTAAGGACAACTTAAGATAGAAAGACCCGAAAGTGCGCTAGAGCACGGGAAATCGCGTCGCAAGCTACTGCGCTAGTCTGTGGGAAAGTATGTTGCAAGTATAGAGCGCTATGGCGTGAGAAAAGCGGAAGTGCAGGTCGGTAGATGGTCGCTATCGGGTCACTAATGCGTCGGTAGCGGAGCGCTAATGCGTTGGTATAGGTAGGGAGTCTAAGGAGTGTAGTGGATAGCGAGTGAGGTCAAAGGTATTGATTGCAAGGGTAAGGGGAAGTCAAGGTAAAGTGTTCAGGTATAGGGAAACCAATAGGGGCTATAGAGTGCAGCTAAAGGTGACTACTTCTAAGTAAAACCTAAGGGGAAGGAATTACAGTCGAAGGGAAGTAATGTCAAAGTAATCACCATAGGCTTCTTATACTAGTAACTTTACCATATTGGACTTGGAAGGGATAGGATATACATGTAATAAGACTGTAGCACTTTTTACAAACTTGAGGCAAGGCAAATTACATACCAATGAGGTAGGATGGACAATATATGGATTCCGATGTTTCGGGTGGATCCTAGAGCACGAGAACAGCGTGCTGGATAAGCGCTAAGCGCGGGAACAAGCACTGTCTTACTAGGATGTGAAAGGCAAGTGTCATATACCATATATCTGGTTACAGATCTGATGATCTGGATCTCAGATCCGATCCAGATCCGATGAACATATCCATCGTCCGGTCCACAGATCCGCTTTGATTCTTATTTCATTTCCTGTTCATATAACTCTGACTATCGTTCATCTCCTTTCGGTATTCCTGTACACCGGTATACCGGTTATCCTTTACTTCCGCTTTGCTTACTGATCCGCTACACTTACGAATCCGCTTTTACATGTACATCATTCCCGGTTCATGATTCGTGATCCATCCAACTTACCAATACGCTCCGCTTAGACTTTGCTTATACTTTCGTACATAGCCTCGCACCTTTGCTTATTGATCATTCCGTTAGCTATCCGTAGTATATAAACCTTTGTATATGCGCTGTAGTAGATCAGTTCGAATATCATCTTAGATTGCACTCATTCCGTCTGGACTCTGAGTCCCTCCGTTATCCTTCCGGACTTGAGTACGCTACTCTTGTCTACTCCGAGACTTAGGATAGATTCCTATAGTCTACATATCCGCCTCTGTCTTCGGACAGTCCTCACCCGTTAGTTTCTAGTCCGGATCCGATCCGGATTGGCCGTTACTCTATACGTTCGATATCCGGAAGTCTTAACGGATCCATTGCAATACTTATCCGTTTCACTAGACGCGATACTTTAGCTCTCTGAAATAAGGGGCAAGACTCGGGAAAGGGGCACAGCGCACGAGCTGAGGCCGAAGCCCTTCGGATCCGATACTACTTGAGTACGGTCTTAACAGCAAGAAAACTCTCCAAATTTCACTATCCTCCACGGTCAATGGTTCAGACAATTACCAATGGTTGATAACGTGGTCGTTTGTGGGGGACGAGATGTGTTGAACTTTTCAAGTGAACGCTAGTGATGTAAAAGGGCAATAAATGATAGAAAACCAATAGTAGCACAAGGTAGTGCTATAAACTTCAGAATAATATGTTGCAGCTGTATGCAATGAGCTTGAACTTTAATATATATCACTCTTGGATATCTCTTACTTATACTCAGCAATGGAGAACAAATTCACTAGCGGGATCATCCCAATATGTGGCCTCAAAACCAACTCTCTGCTGCTCAGGATCTTACAATGAGTAATGACGCAGTCCAGAATAGAGTACACCTTCTTGATGTAGTCTTAAGTGGCCAAGCTCTTAATATTCGTTGACAGATTGTAGGTCTTATTTGTGTCTACCCTAATTGATGAATAATATGTATAATTCTCCCCACAGAACTTTTCCTGTGTCTAAAAGAGAACTAGAATAAAGGATGATTATGTAATCAAAGATGGCTCAAGTATGTGGCCAAATACTTCTGAAGAATGTGTGAAGGATAATGTCAAAAGGGGTGGAGCAAATAAACTAATATTTTCTCCTAATAATCACTTGAATGTTCACTCAAATAGTAGGGGCTAAGAATCTTAGGGGTGAAAGAATGTTCCCCTGTGTTCTCCTATAAACTTTGTCTCACTCTGATAATACTTGGAAATGAAATTGATTTCTTCACAAGAGGGGAAAATGAGCCCCTTATATACTACTAGACTAGTGGCTGTGCTACTGATTACTAATGTACTATAGAATATTCCAGAATGTTTGAGAAAGAGCAATAGAATCTTATAGAATGTCATGGAATGTTACGGAATGATTAGTAAGATACTCATAGAATGTTCTAGATTACTCAGCAAAGGCTGTGTTCCAGGTCCTTCTAGCACTGCCTTATTGCTGTGCATTGATTACCAATCCATTCCAACTAGTTCAACTTGGTTTGGTTGGCACCACTGCCTTGAGTACATAGATGTAAATAAAGTGTGCATAGAATGTGTGTGTACATATGTTTGGCATAGGGGTAAATAAAATAAAGAATTATAGAAAAGATAAAGGGTACGTTAAGTATTTAGTTTGAACCGCTAAGTCGTATCTTGATGATACATGCTTAGAAATGTCTAAAGTAAATTGAAGTAAGGTATAGAAAATTCAGGGGAAGTGTATAGGCTATAGTAAGGACTAGCATGTGTCATAAATTTACCATGACCATGTGCGAGACAGGTTTCGTGCGTGTCAGCGCTAGATAGAGCAGACATGCACTAATGCTCCTATAGACACATTGCTGGTAGTTCTGATAGCGCTATAAGCGCGGGAATAGCGTCGGATAAGTCGCGGGAGCATGAATTGCGCTGCGGGAATGTGCGCACATAGTGCGGGAAAGTGCAGAATAGCTTCGGACAAGGGTTATGGCTGAGGCAAGTGAAGACTGCTGATAGGGGAGTAGTGAATAATATGAGGGATAACTTTGGTCCACCTATTGAAGACTTATGCAGGTATACATGCCTAGTGCCAATATGATTGTCACATCGGACATTCAGGTTCTCAGCTCTTCTTTTGACCATGTGACAACTGCCCTGCAAGAGCACACCACTCAGAATCTTGTGCTTGCCATTGAACCCATTCCACTGTGGAAGCAGAAGGCTATTATACGGGTGCAAGAGGAGGGTCTAGAGGACAACGAGGTAATCACAATCATTTAACATTTTTAGTCTGATGTTGCCATCACCGATTCGTACCTTGCAATCAAGAAGGACAGCCTTCACAAGCTTTTCTTAGCAAAGTATAGTTTCTTGACTTGTTCTCAAATTTCGCACCACAATTTCTTTCATACCACTCAATGTAATACATGCATAGACTTGAATTTGATGAGATACTTTGCGCGAGCAGCACTTTCAAAATTATCTAGATATCTTCCTCCACATCTGATAGACCTCTCTCCTCCCTTACCCTGAGGTAATCATCCCACATGAGATGAGCAATAGCATCACGGCACTCATGTGCGCGAGTACACGCCTCTTCAGAGGGAGGTCCTTCAGCAAGTGTCCCACTGTCACGCTCAGGCCCAACAGCATCATTGTTGACTTGCCGGTAGTCTATCATGTCATCTGGGTCTTGGATCCAGATGATATTGTGCACTAGGCACAATGCAGGGGGATACGAGCTTGGATGCTCATAGGGTAGAAAGGTAGGTTGGAAAGAATGCGAAAGCGGTTCTTGAGCACACCAAATATCCACTCGATCACATTTCAGAGCATGGTGTGGTGTAAATTGAATATTTCTTGATGATTGCAAGGCCTGAAAAACATCAGTAAGATCAGAAAATTGAAGCAGAAGCACTTATGCAAGATGGCCCCTGCCCCATTCAGCTAGATGATAGCGCACACCATGATATGGTCCAAGTAATTTGTCGCATGCGCCGAATCCAGCATCAGCAAGGTAGTATTTTCTGGGAGGGATATTGAAGTCCTTAATACAAGTGTTGTAATATATACGGGCGTCAGCTGCTGACCCCTCCCAACCGCTCAAGACATAAAGAAAGGACATGTTGAAGGTACAGGCAATCAGGCAGTTCTGAGTTAAGCTGCCCTTGCAATTGTGAGCAGCATCATGCTGATCACTGCCAGGGTGACATGCGATATGGGTGCTGTCTATAGCACCAATGGCATCAGCAAAATAGGGAAAATATTTTGGGTTCTGGAGGACTTTGAGAGGGGTTGGATTGTCTGTGCTTGGTAGATGAACATATGATTGATAAATAGGGGGCGATGCAAAGGCGTTCAGTATGCGTTTGAAGTACCTTGAAAAAATTAGTAAATCTTTCGACAAGCGCTGGGATCAACACACTTGGATATTGTGTCGTTTGAGTGTTGAAATCGTTCACCAAGGTGACGAGTGGAGAGGCCAGTTGCACTTGCATAAAGAAATATTGCAAGCTGCTCCTCTAGTGCTAT